ACTTTCTTTATTAAGACTTTCAATCTCTAGGTAGATAGACATTAATTTCACTGTTTAAAAATTCATTAATTATTTTTTACATTTCAGGTATAAGAATAAGTTTAGCAGATATAGAGTTTGAAATGTCACGAGAGATACACATTTCTTAACTAGAGTAATTGAGCCTCACTTTGCTTTGCTGTGATGGCTTTCCTTGGTTTAATGGTCATACTTGGCTTTAAGCGGTTGCTGAACTGCTATGTAAAATCAATCTTATATGGCAGTAAATGCTGGACAATCTCAACACAGATGAAGACATATGAAGCAACAGAGGTGTGCTTCTACAGAAAGATGCAGAGAATACCATGGACCAAACATATGAGTAATGAGGAAATCTTAAAAGAAAATGGAAAGTAACAGTTAAATATCTAGGAAACATGCGGAAAGAAGGGTAGGAAAATTTGATACACACAGGACACTGAAAGCAAGAGAAACAGAGGAAAACAGCAAATCTCCTACCTAACAAGCTTGTGTAAATGGATGGAGTTCCATAAGTGAGAAGTGTGAGAGAAGAAACAGTTGGCATAGAATTTACAGTTAAATTTAGCCATTTCAACTGTAAAATGATGAGACCATGCTGCTAATCTAGTCAGCTAGATGCCATACATGATACATGCTTGGGTGATAATGTCTCCTTAGATTCATGACTGACAAGGCAGAAGATTTTCCTGCAGTAAGTTGCCATTTCTTTCTTCAGTAGACTGGTTGCCAAACAAGGCTATAGGACCCAGTCTGTCCTGCTATTCGACCCATATCTGGAGGGGAGAAGAGATGGATCCATACCTTTCTCATGTGTTTTTGCATGTAAGTGAATGTCATGAACCCAACTGGAATTTAATCTGGACTCTCTAATTTCTCATTCCTAACCAATATTCCTTACACCACAATCTAGTACTCTGCTTACATTCATAAAGTCTTGGTACCAAAGAGGAAATCTCAATATATAAACAACATACAATCAAAAACCCTCTAAAATAGCCGTACACTGACTGATCAAAACCAAATTTTGGGGAGAAGTGTAAACTGGTTAAGGGAGATGTAAAGTACAGTTGATTTTACTACAGTGCAAAGCTTAGTACAATAAATTTTCATACATTTTTTTTTTTAAATTGAATGTTTTATTATATAGCATACAAAATAATCCCACTATTTTAAAAATAACTTAATGATTAAAATAACAAATACTTATCTAATAAAAGTACAATATTGTTTTTAGCATATCTTTCCTTTAATTGTATTTGCAAGAACTATAAACAAATCACCAGGCCAACTGCTTAAAAAAAGTTGGAATTTGTCTTCAGAAAGAAATATTTACACATGGCCAGTTGTATGTTGCATACTTAAGAGTAAGAAATCCTAAAAATTTATTCTTCACTGTTAAAAATTAAAAAAAAATAAATAAAAAATTTTGTTAAAAAATATTGTTTAACGTGAAGTCCCATAAAATTAAAGAAATTATTAAACCGCAAAGTAGGGTTTTTGTGAAAGTATTTTTCCAAACAAATCAGCTTATTCAAATTTCATCGACTGGTTCATGAAATTGAACAAAACGTAGAATTTGTAAATCTCAACAAAAAATAATATCAATAACTTCAACAATGTTAAATTTGTGATAATTTCAACACAATTCAGTTAAAAAAAAAAAAAAAAAAAAAAAAAAATCAAAAACTCACGATTCATCAATATTTACACCAAAATTACAAATACGTGATGAGGGTGGGGGGTGAAAAATGCGACAACCAAAAAGTAAACAGTAGCCAATGAAACCTACTTTTCCAGAATTCTCAATTTTCCTTAATTTAAATTTAATTTTATTTCCTTAAAGTAAATTGTCCTTAACTAGACAACAGTCACTTAATTATGTAAAGGTGATTCTAATAAGTTTTTACTGTAGATATTAGCTGGATTTCCTTTTTCCATCAGGGAAATCATTCCCTATAGACTTTGAAAGGTTCAAACAAGAGATGTGTATTTCTTGAGTAGGTAATTGAGCTTTGCTTTCATGTTTTCTCATAGCCTAATTGGTAGGGCACACTTTCACATATATTCTAATATTTATCATATAAATTATGACAGCTACTAAGGAATTTTTTTTTTTTAACTTACCATAACAAATTTCTGTTACCAAAATTATATTTTTGCTATCATTCTCAAAGTTGTTTAAAGTTGAAAGCACACTGCAAAACAGTGTAATTATTTTTTTAATCATTACACCAGCTTCACACCCATTTTAGCAATTGTAATCAAGTCAACTCTGAGAATTCATAGTTTGTCTTCTAATGGAGGGATTGCAAGAGACCAAATTAATTTTGTCATTTTTATATTTGTCTGCAATGGTGTGATGCAATATTCCTCTAAATGTGTCATGACCAAGGTCATAAAACTAGCTAAACTTGACAATCTCATTAATATATTACTCCCTAATATTAGTTAACTAAACCTGAAAGTAGAGTAATGGATAGCGGCAAGGATTGAGAAATCAGAGAGCCAAGTTCAAATTCCAGTCAAATCCATTACATTCATTTATGTGCTAATACCCTTGGGAAAGGTATGAATCCTTTTCTCCCTTTAGCTATGGGTAAATAGCTGGGGAGGAGAAGAAGAGTTCTATAGCCTTGGATGGCAACTGGTCTACCACAGGAATAAATGGCAATCTACTGTGGGAAAAAATCTGCCTTGTCAGTCATATATCTTTCGATACATGATCACCTAAGTGTGTATCACGCATAGCATATAACTGACTGAAATCTGAAGGGACATGGATTAGTTTGTTTGCCATCACCTAGGGAAACTCTTTTAGTAACCAAATTCTTTTGTAATTTCTGTGTAATGCAATTAAAATGTTTATGGCCAAACTATTATTAAAGATTAAAAAAGACATGCCTTTGAAAAGTAATTAAAAAAAGGCTTTCTATTTCAAGTATGTTACTTATAGACATGTGAAAAAGTGACAGCTACCTCTCACAGATCAAATTTGATATTTTTAAATTGTGTCAAGTAAAATAATTGCATACAAAAATAAATACTAAAAAAATAAAAACAGAAATAAATACTAAAAAAAAAATGCTCTAACAAATGGGGGGTGGGGGTAAAAATAAAAAAGAAAGAAAATTAATTCTGTTCACTTAAAAAATAAATGCAACCATGATAAGATCTGAAGAATATTAACTTAAATTCTGAATACTTTTCTCATGAAGCTACTATTTTATTCTTATTAAATAAATAATTTATTACTCTTCAAACAGAAATAAAAAAAAAATGCAATGTTTACTTTTGTAGTTACTTTCCTCTCTCCTTCCCATCAAATAGACATTAATTTATCTTGTCTATGTCTTCTTATGTAATCGATCTCTGGTGTAATTTTTTGAATGTTTGTTGGTCTTTTTTTAAGATGAAAAGAAAAGAGTTAGATATCCTGTAGTAAAATGAAAAGACAAAACACTCAAATTTTACTTCAACGCTTAATTAAATTTAATTTTCAAAATGTATGAATTTCTTACATCATCATGTTTAAGTGATTTATAAAGAGTTTTGTTTTAATTTCAGATTATTAAATCTGACAAAAGCCGATATTTCTGAAGTACACAGTAACACTGGTCTCAAAATTTGGTTAAAAAAAAAAAAAAAAAAAAAAAAAAAAAAAAAAAAACAGGTTTATATATTTATTTTTATCTTTTTACAAACAGGTATTGTCTGAAAGCTTACAGGGCCAATCATCAGAAAAATATGTCACAGAACTCATGATGAATTAGTGAATTTGTTGCCTTAAAATAGAAAAAAAAAAGTAGTGGCACAAGAGTATAATTTATTATAAATTAAATAAAAATTGTCAAAACTGAAATATTTACTCCATTTAACTTGGAGTTAATTAAATGATTTTTTTCTATGATATTTTGGAGAACCAGAAGTTTCATTTTTTTTTTATTTTTTTTTTTTTGTAGCTTTTTATTTTCCTGTCACAAAAAAATAACTTAAAGTCACGTTGATGGGTTTCACAAAGCCACAAGGAAAAAGCGTGGGTGGCAAAATAAAAAAAATGGAGGAGAAAAGGGGAAAGAAGACAGAAAGTAAAAAGGAAAAAGGAGAAGAAAAAGGGAGTAACTTATTTGTCACAAGTGGAGATTACCTCACAGTCTGTTTAAAATACAAAAACGTTCAGACAACTCTGCAGCATTAGCGATTTTAGCCCGTCTAAAAGGATATTATTGCCAATACAGTATAAAAATAATACAAATTGAACATTAAAAGTTCTGTTTATCTTCAGTCTGGTTGCTCAGTTGGTAAGGGTGCTACTGAAACAAAAAGGCGCTTACATTTCTAATATTTGATATTTACAGTTCCTTTTAATTTAAACAAAACATCCTTTTTTTAGATATATTTTAAGCTTAATTTCGTCTGGCACAAGGCCTAGCAGAAAAAGGAAGATGGTTTTGCACTGATAGCCTAAAGTGATTAGAACCCTTGAAAATCGGTATTTGAGACATTGGTTTTTACTCCAGTTTGGACACCAAATATACACAACTATGTAAATGGCTAAGCAACACTATTTCAGAAAATGTTCAGTATTTAAATAACCGAAGAAATAATGAAATACTACTATTTTAGAATCTCACTGATCTTTAAATTAAGTTAAATGAAAGCTCAAAGAGGACAGTCATTTTTGGCTGGATTTAAAAACTAAATGTGGATTTGTAAAGCATAAAGACATGTTTAAATCATTCATGTTGACATTAACTAAGCAAACTGGGAGAATATGAGCAACAGTAAATGAATAAAGACAAAAAGGACATAGTTTATAGTTTTAAATGTGAATAGAAAACAAGAGAGTTAAAAGTGAGACAATGAGTTTGTTAAGAAGAGGGTCATTTTTATAGTATTCTTTGCTGTTTCTACATACACCTCACCTTTTTAGAAGGTCATAAGGTGATGCCCTTTTATTATGAAGACGACAAAGAATAGGCCTAAGGATGTGAAGTAAAAAGAAAGAAGTGAATAAATTTAAAGTTGATACCTGCAGTCCTTTCAGAGAAGTAGGGAGAACAAAAATGAAGGAAGAAAAATAAAAAGAAGAAAAAATAGAGGCAAAGAAATAAGAGAAAAAGGAGAGAAAGAAATAAGAGAAAAAGGAGAGAAAGAAATAAGAGAAAAAGGAGAGAAAAAATAAGAGAAAAGGAGAGAAAGAAATAAGAGAAAAAGGAGAGAAAGAAATAAGAGAAAAAGGAGAGAAAGAAATAAGAGAAAAAGGAGAGAAAGAAATAAGAGAAAAAGGAGAGAAAGAAATAAGAGAAAAGGAGAGAAAGAAAAAGAGAAAAGGAGAGAAAGAAATAAGAGAAAAGGAGAGAAAGAAATAAAGAAAAGGAGAGAAAGAAATAAGAGAAAAAGGAGAGAAAGAAATAAGAGAAAAAGGAGAGAAAGAAATAAGAGAAAAAGGAGAGAAAGAAATAAGAGAAAAAGGAGAGAAAGAAATAAGAGAAAAAGGAGAGAAAGAAATAAGAGAAAAAGGAGAGAAAGAAATAAGAGAAAAAGGAGAGAAAGAAATAAGAGAAAAAGGAGAGAAAGAAATAAGAGGGAAAGGAGAGAAAGAAATAAGAGAAAAAGGAGAGAAAGAAATAAGAGAAAAAGGAGAGAAAGAAGAGGGAAAGGAGAGAAAGAATGAAAGAAAAAATAGAATGAAAGAAAAAATAGAATGAAAAAAAAAAGTAAAAAAAAAAAAAAAAGACAAAGGGGGAAAAGGAAAATTTAGTCCTTTACAATTTTACTGCATTTATTTTCATTTTTTATTTCATTTTTATATTGCCACCTACTTGATAAATCAAACGAAAATCTCTCACCAATTTGAGGAAATTCAATTTCTTTTGTGAAACAAAGAAATTGGCATGTCTAACACCCACACACCATAAAACCCAGAAGTCACTTTCTTTCTCTCCATAAACCCCCGTAAACATCTGAATAAGAGGGAAAATTGTATATGCAATTTCAATTTCATGAATTTATTATTTTTTTTATTGCGTGTGTTTTTAATTTACCACTCCCATGTTATTTTTTTTCGTTCTTCGCTCCGAACTCCGTACCTGAGTGTACTCACCGCCACTAGTGACCTATGTCTCCACACAGCATACGTTCCCGCCAAGACGAAACTGACACGCACCCAACCATATATACACAAGAAAAAAAATGTGCCCATCCCTTTTTTTTGACTTTGTGCCTATTTTAGCACAACCAACCAAAACCCACTTGCTTTCTAAACAGACAAGACGAAAGAGCGGACGAGAAAAAGAAATAAGAGAGATTTAAAAGAGAAAAAAAAAAATGACGCACTCCCTATTTTATTTTTATTTATTTTCAAGTCTCAACCTAATCTCAAATTTAAGTACTCTGTGATTGTCAATGCTTTCACCTGTTGGGGGAAGAAGGTTGGGAAAAAGAAAGTGGATTCCATTCCTACACACACACACACACACACACACACACACACACACACTCTCTCACTCCCCCACAACCCATTGATTTGTCGTTTTCCTCCTTTAAACTCACTCAAGTTTCCATAAAAACGCTTCAACAAACGAAGAAAGTTTCTCTTCTTGTCTTCGCTTAGTTAAAAAGCTGATCGTTAGAAAAATATTTTTTGCATTTTCTTTTTCTGTCTCTAAAAATTATCTTCCGTCATATCCTGCCCTGATCAAACAGAATTATGATACACTCTGTAACACTATATACATACGCAAAGAAAAGAGGAGTGCATACACATGACGGTTTTTGTTGTTTGTTTTTTTGTTTTTTAAATTAAAAAAAATATATAAAATAAATGCATAAGTTAATTTTAGGCACCCCACTGAATTTTATATACCTAAGTTTTAAAATTAAATTTTAAAAATGAAAAAGCATTCTTGAAGATTTCATTTTAGTTTTAAAACGATTTATTTCCAGTAAGTAAAATATTCTGTTGTATTTCAGATAGAAATTATATAGATGGGAATGTCAAATAATTGCTCGATTTAAAAAAAAAAAAAAAATTTAAAAGCGGCCATTTTCTTAATTTTAAAAATTTTTATTTCGAGGTTAAGTTCGAACTCATTTAAACGAGCTTACACTTACCATTGCTCTACGACAAGCGCTCAATCGTTATTTCATAAAATTAAACTTGAACTTGCTTGTATTTTTATAATTATTTATTATAAATAATTATTGTAATTCTACTGCTTTGTGGGCTGTACTATTTAAATTTTATAAATGGCGTTGAGATTTTCAGCCCCGGTGTATCTATGTTACCTTTAAACCCACTGAACCCTGGTCGCTGCTTTACCGGTGGAAGAGAAAAATGACAATGTCCAGCCAGCGGTTGAACAGAGGTAGAGAAAAATGACTTAATGTTCGGATACTGGTTGAACGGTGGGTAAACACTTGCAAATATTTTTACCGTGAAACATTATCAATTATTTGCGAATTTTGACTCCGGAGCTCGGCAGTGTTTGGGAATGCAGGACTCAAAGGGTTAGTGTAACCCGAATATAAGAGAGATTTTCTCTGGTCCCAAATTAGAGCCCGTGTTAATGTATATAAAATAGACCAAACCCGGATATAAGAGACTTCTCCGATCCCGACAACTCTCTTATATCCGGGTTACACTGTAATAAATTTCAGAATATCCCCAATACTCAGAAAAAGCATATTTAAAAACTAATAAAAATTAGCTTATTCCTTTCTTTATCTTTTTGTTTATACTAATAGGAACAAACAAAATAAAGTTATGATCAATGAACAAAGTTTAAAAAGTACAGGACCGTAAGATAACCTAAATTGATTTGTCAACTAATTGAAATTCTAAAATGGTTTAATTTTATTATTTCAAAGTTCAAACATTATTTTTAGTGGATCCCCGTGTTAGAATTTAGGTGTCCCGTTTTATGAACGGTGTCTATTACGCCTACCGGCTTGCGCACTCAAGAAAACTTTTTAAAAAATGTGCTTCCCGGCAAGGTTCGAACCTTTGTAGGGGTACCCACTGTCTGATGTTGCATGTTTTATTTAGACTACTTGGTAACAGTCCAGCATCGTTCTATTTACCACCTTTTCAAGGAACATGACTTTATAAGCAGGTGGTGAATGCCTTTCCTCCATCAACTTCTTATAAACCATTTAGAGTATTTCAAATGACAACATTGTAACTTTTTTTAAACTTAACCTGAGCGTACATACACATTTGAAAATATGATACTACATACAGAGATTTACCTTGTTACAAGCAGAGATCAGATATTAAATTTTCTTATCCTCTCTAAAAATAAAGATTTGGTTTTAATATATGCTACTGTATACATATTTAATAAAATTTGATTTTATTATTCTACTGTATACATTTTTTGTTTTAGTTTTAAATCCTTTTTCTTTATTTTGCTTTTTGCTTGTAAGATAGACTTTTCCAACATATATTACTTATCGTATATGCTGGCGACTGGGTGTATAAGACGACCCCCAAATTTTCAAGTCAAAATGTAGGTCTCGAGCTATATTCACCATAAAGACGATCCCCAAACCGTATTTTAAAATCTATTTTATTGAATTTATTAAATAAATTCCGTAAGCATATACTTTCTTTTTACTCAAATTCTAATGAAAAAACAGTTTACAATGTGTGACGCTGGTTTTGGATTTTTCTCTTGACGAATATGTTTTATTGTTGTTGTGCAATCATACCACATATTAAGAGTACTTTTATTACACTAAACTTTTATTATAATAATGTGAATTGTTTCAGTAGAAAATATTTGGGTCGATAGTTACCAAGTCAGGGCCCAGCCTACCGTCAAAAATCTCCTATGCTAACAGCTTACAATAAAATACAAAATTTAAGGTTCACATTTTATACCTGGAGTATAAGACGGCCCCTTATTTGGGGGGAATTTTTTTAAGGTTAAAACGTCGCCTTTTCGTCGATATATACAGTATATGACATCTTTAGAAGCTGATGTTCCGGTGAGAAAAACAACAGAAAATGAAGTTTTATGATCTATTTTTAATGGCAGAAATGATTTCAGACAAACGAGACAGCTCAATTGTCATAGATTGAAATCAAGAAGACAAACTTAGACTTCTGTTTAGTTTTCAGTTCCAGGAACCCCTGTCGATGTGGAGGATTTCTGATGCCAAGAACCAATTCTGGTTTCGAAATCAAGTAGCCAAAAATAGGCCACATGTCAAATAATAGATCTAATCAACAAGTTTTCCACCTCTGGGTGCTTCAGGTTAAGTAATTATTAGCGATGTTAGTTTGGTTGACCATTACTCCAGAGTAGCGAGTTTTATATTTACTGGATGCTCCCAGATACTTGGGGCCTTGTGCTATACTAAGCTAACCTTAATAATTCAGAAATTTCAACTCTAACCCATTCTCTTTTCTAAAAGGAAGCCTCAATTACATTTATATAAAAGAGATTATCTGACCAAAACTTAAAAGAAGGCGACTTGTAGTTTCAAACAGATAAAGTACAAAGAATTAAATAAATAAATAAAAAACAGTGTGTAATGCAATAAATAAATAAATAAATAAATAAAAAACAATGTGTAATGCAAAAAATAAATAAATAAATAAAAAAACAGTGTGTAATGCAAAAAAAAATTAAAATAAATAAATAAATAAAACTGTAATGCAAAAAATAAATAGAAAATAAATAAATAAATAAAACAGTGTGTAATGCAAAAAATAAATTAAAAAATAAAAAAAATAAACTGCCATTCGATGACAATGTGGAATGTCAAAAGTTTGGCTTTAGGCAAATGTTGAACTAACAATAGATTTGTCATAATCAGCTGTAGAGACAATTTTTCTTATTGCCACTCAGACCGCCACATTCTACGGTGGTTAGTAAGTAGTGAAAATTAAGTTCTTCTATATTCTTAGTAATGGCAGTCTAAAATGGCTATAAAAAAAAGGATTGTTATAAAATAAGACATATCTCGGCTGATTTGCAGGCAAATAAACTAACATACTCAAGGTCCCGTCACAAAATGACCATATTTACGTGTTTAAGCATATTCCCGACGCACGAGTTCCGGTCGAAAAATAAAATAATATTTTAAAGTGTTTTTATTTTTCGACCAATAAAAATGCTTCCCCCCTAATTATACTCGCGTCGTTTTACGAGCCTGTCAAGCCATAAAAACAGGGGGAAGTACAACGGCAGTCAACAGGAGGCCAGGGAAGAGACCTGTCACGGTCAGACTGAGCGGTCAGCAGCAGCCAGCAGCAGTAGCGCCACGCCAATCAGCGAGAACTACTATGAGAAATCAACCCAGATCTTCAGCCGGCCTATAAACTATACCACAAGGTAGCTGTCCCAAAACCACATATTCCTATTGAAATAAATCAGGTAAATCTATTTCTACTGTTGTCATATTTCTTGCAACCATACGCTTGTCTCTAACAGGATCAATTAAAATTATAGTCGTGTACTGCTTGCATAGTAGGGCAAGGAATCGCACCAACAATAATAATCCAGATTAGTACTGAGGCCGGTGTTACATCAGAATTTTCCTTCTGCTAGACAGATAGGCTAAACGGCCACATCGCCAGTTCCCATACGATTACCGAAGTTAAACAACATCGAGGCTGGTCAGTGTTGTAAGCATGGGTGTGCGGGTGGTATAATGGATAATAGCTCGGAATTGTTAATTGGAGTTGCTGAGTTCCAATTCCCATGGGGTTTGTTATATTCCTCTTATGCGCAAAATATCTTTGGCAAAGGTATGAATCCACCTTTTTTTCACCCACCTATGGGTTAATTGTAGCATTAAACTATTATTATCTTATAATCTAAAAATATTTTCTGGCTTTAAATAACCTGGAATTGGGTGATAAGACATAAAAAAAACGAATCAATCACCCTAGACAGATACCTTATCAAAGGTTTGGGGTCCATCACTGCTATTAAGCTAACCGCGCGCCTAGACACCAACCCAGATATTTTTACATACACGTGTATATACATATATACACTACTACTGCAATAATAATGCTTCACTCAAGAAATTATATATGAGTTAAACCTAAAGAGCCAGACAAACCTACCAAGGTTTCACCTTAGCAGATTTGTCTGGCTCTCTAGGTTTAACTAGGTCTGCTCTACTTACTGTATCGATCACTTTATTTAGTTATTTTGCCTACTCGTATCGGTTTTTTTTTCTTTGGACTTGCATGCTAGACGATTATTTTCGGCTGACGTACATGTTCTTGGTTCTTTCTTCTTTTTTTTTTTTTTTATACCTGTTTCCCCCTTTGGTATTGGCTTGATTATTCGCAAATCAAGACACCGAAGGTTTTCCGGATGAGTATAATTTCTTATACTTATAAGATTATTACTACTAATAATATATATATAATTTTTGTATATTTTATTTATATATTATATATGCGCAGTACTTAGTGGAAAGCGCTCAATATCAGTGATAGAGCTAACATATTTAGTTGGATTGATGTGAGTTTGTGGCCCTGCGTTTCACGCTATTTGCGATTCTTCAGACAAACTTTGTCTGAAAATCGCGAACAGCATGAAACCCAGGGTCACAAACTCACATCAATCCAACTAAATATATATATATATATATATATATATTCAGGCATATCACAGAAAAGCTTTGAGAGATATCTGGTCCCAGAGATCCCAACGAGACAGCAGCACCCCCACCCCCTCATTGCATGGAGAATTGGTAGACACAATATCAGCGGAAACTGCGCAAATTTCGTCCATGATAGGCACACCACATTAAACTGACTGTGCCACATACAATCACCGTGGAGAGATGTATAAATACCGCCTCGTGCCTAGGATTAGAGTGTAATGTTTGTTCTCATCGTTTCTACCTCCTTTGGGCAGTTTACGATTGTGTAATAAGAGAAGCCTACTTCCAGTTAGGCCAACACTTCTGTCATCATACTAAAAAGGGGAAACAATAAAGTAAAAAAAAAAAAAAAAGTGGTGATGGTGGAATATTGGCCAATCAGCGTCATATCGGCCGATCTGTACGTGTATTGAACCCAACAATACACCGACTACAGTAAATGCTCGATTTAGCGCCCCCGCTTTAGTGCCCCATTTCCTCAAGGAAATTAAAGTAAGCACATCAGGTAGACTAAAGGAATATATTTGAGAAACAAAAAGGGGGTGCATTTATTTTTATCTGGTAGTTTAAAGACAAGTTAATTTAGTCAAAATATACTTTAAAATTTTTAAAGTGTCACAGACATTAAATCGAGCTTTTACGGTATGTGTCACATTTGACATTCAGATTAGAGTATAGTATTTGTACAACTTGCCTAACTTACTAAGTGCTGTCCAAAGGATATGTCATTTGTTTTCAGGTTATGCATTCAGATCAGGAGAGAAAACATATCTGTTTTCTTTTAACATGACAGAAAAGTTATCGACAGAGAAATATAAAAAAAAAAAATAAATAAATAAAAGAACAATGTTACATCGTTCTTTATAATATGATACAATATTTCCATTCATTATAATGATTACATTGATTGTAAAATTCCGGCAGTAAGTGTATATATATATATATATATATATATATATATATATATATATATATATTTACACACACACTCTGCAGACCTGATGCTTGCCACTACCACACAAAAGGAAGGAGAGCAAGCACTCGACCGCCTTCTTACGGTTCTTGCAGGGAAGGAGTACAGTCAACCAGTAACGGATGAGAAGACATTCGTGTTCGGGATCGATATGAGATGTCAACTTGCCGAGATAGTCCCAGACCGGAGGGCCGTGTGAAGTCGTTTCCTCTAGACCAAGGTAACACTGATGACAGTCAGGCAAATCCCCATCCTCTGAAGGCTATGTCATGGAGAGATAGCACATTCCGAATCAATCACCAGGTAAACGAAAACTCAAGGTTACTGGCGCCTAAGACCAGAAAGAGTGCAACTCGGTTGCCGACAAACCAAGCCGCCCATAGACTGGATACTTCACTATTCCCTCCACTAGTTCCCGATACAAAAGTCTCCTAGGCGGTGAAAAGTCACTGGACTAAGGAATGACCCTCAATGCCGCCTGACACTCTCTGTGGAATTTCGACGATGGTGCTCAGCCCTAGAAACGGGAAGAGTGATGTCAAAGCTAGGGAAGGTGTCCCTGACATTCCTCTCCAAGATCGAATCTTCTATCAATGCACGGCATAGGAAAGACAAATGAGGCAAATGTGACATTCCCAGCCCTCCCCCATGACACAAACGATGGGCACAGACATCTCTGCAGACCTGATACTTGCCGCCGCCACCACCACCACCACACAAAAGGAAGGAGAGCAAGCGTTCGAGCGCCTTATGTTTCTTGCAGAGAAGGAGTACAGACAACCAGTAACGGATGAGAAGACATTTGGGGCGCATGCATCTACCCAATCCTTCACGGACAACCGCCTCCGGAGCTAAGTCCGGACTGTCGCTCTGACCTTTGCCTGTACCCACGATCAATGCCCGAACCACATTCCAAGAATGCGGCCGAGTCCGTCAGTTCAACTAAAGGGCCCTGAAAGAGCGACCCCCTTCCAAGCACCTAACCACAAGCTGCGGTTAATCTTGGCCCCCATGACCTCGTACCGTTGAAGCGCATTCTGTATCACATCAATGTCGCTGAGGTATGAAACAAAAATGGATGTCATCGGCGTATGCGGAAATGCTGGTTCGAGCACCACTAGTGACAGCAATTCCACAGAGCCGGACTGCACGACCTGTCCTTTAGCCAGCGAAGTGTAAAGTAAACTCTGACGAACCGACCGTGACATCTTTCCATCCACCTGTACCACAGCACTGGGGAAGCGATAGAGGAGGCTGATCTACTTGCAGATGTCGGGTTTTTATCCAGTGGCCTTCAGGACATCATCCAGTTATTGATGGTCGACTATCGAACGCCTGGGACTGATCCAAACTGATAGGCTTGCTTATTGTCTTTTACACCCTCTAGGATTCCAACAGAAACTCGACAGCTGACTGCAAACACTGTCAGGATTTGGGCCAAAATCTTTAACTCTGTGTTGAGTCTTCACCCTTTAAGCGTTACCTAGGGCGAGCCATTAGATATATTTGGTAGTGAAAGACCTATCTTTAAGCCTCTCCCACTACTTATTCCCAATAATCATCCCCATTAGTTCCCATTGCACTATAGTTAACTGTTGCCGAAAATCCCGCCTGTCCAGTAAAGAGAGATTGAACTTCCAGTGTCCAGCCATTCTAGGCCTAGCATCTAACGCCATCCGGGCACAGGTACGTCTATGGGTTGAAAAGCCTAAACTTAACTCAAAAACAAAGAAATTGTGGACATATGTTTATATGGATTAAGTCCTTGTTTTGGTATGAGGAACCCGCCTAAAAAATTGTAAAAGTAGTTTTGATACACTCTGTATATGATAAAATTATATACATAATTATAGTTTTAAGCTATGTTATATTTATGGTAAATGTGCTCAATATCAGAGCTAGAACCTATGTAAATATAAAAGTGAATGTTTGTGTGTGTGTGCGTGCGTGTAAACTATCTGAATTCAAAATATGTAACGAATGTTTCAGTTTTATCACTGAACAGTGTGTTTTAACACTATTCCTACTAACCCCAACTTTGTGAATATAGAAATTATTCAAGAAGACTAAATATTACAGTAAAAAGAAAGAGATCATTAAAAAAAAACAAGTGTGAATCTTTATCTAAAATTTGTTTTGGCATTTAAAGGGATTATCAATGGTCAGTAACAAAATAGATCTATTATAGTGTATAATTTAAATACATTACTAGTGATTTTATTATAGAAAAAATGGTAATGCACTGAAAAACAAGTGGTTAATAATTGGACTGGGTTATTATATCTTTAAATGTGGGAGAGTATGATATATAAATTTCTATATAGCACAACATTAGGAAATTGAATGACAAAGTGGAAAAATTCCATTGTCACACATTTCTAAAAAGACTTCATCATAGTAATTTTCTATTTTGATTGATTTATTTTCTACTGTTTATCAACACATTGCAGGTTATTTAAAAGCAGAAATTGATTGTAAAAATTTTTTTTTTAGATAATAACAAATTAGTGATACAATCCTTACTAATTAACCCATAGCTGCAGGGAGATGAGGTGGGTTCATACCTAATCAGAATTTGATAAACAAGAAATTATGTGTATATAAAGTAGGGGATCAATTCTATATGAACTGATCCCTTATTTTTTGGCCACGGTAGTTTCTATACCTTTATATTCCAGAGAATGTAAGTAAATCTAAAAGACATGCCTGTGTAGCTAATCAGTATTAATTTTTTTTTCTATGATTTATCAATGATTATTATTTTTTTTTCTTCTATGGTTTATCAATCCTTTGCTGGTTATTTTAAGTCAGAAAATATTTTTAGATTGAGAATTTTTTTTTTTTGTGAAGATGAGGATTTATTGATACGTCTTACTAATTAACCCATAACTGGGGGAGAAGTGATAGATTCATAACTTTCCCAATGATATTTACAGATAAATGAATAAAATGAATCGAACGGGAATTTGAACTCGGTTCTCCAATTAACAATTCCAAGTTATCATTTATTACACCACCTGCACATTCATGCTTACGGCAACTGGTATTCTCAAACGTTTCACTATGTTGTTCAATTTTCTATAAATGAAAATATTTATTTCTATAAAATAAGTATTTATTTCTATAAAATAAGTATTTGCATTCTCATTCTACACGAAAAAGTTTGAAAGAGTTTCTCCATAGAATTGTAAAAAATAACCAACATGTCTGAATACAGAGAAAAACCATTATCACTACTGCTAAGAAAGACACAGCTCTATAAATTCAACAATCCACTTATAGCCTATTGATTTGTGATATTGTTAGTTACTGGTCATCCCTACAAAGTAACAAGAGACCCTACATAAATCTTAATCTACTCAAACACAAAATAGATACATTCTGCCTGCTATTTCTGTCCTTGGTGACAATTTTTGTTTTGTAAAAAAAAAAAAAAAATGCTTCAGTTCACTGAATGAAACTTATACAGAAAATTCTTTTGCCAGCTTTTTCAAGATTGGGTCCATGAGCAGATAACTAAGCATAGTACATTGTACATAGACAGCCTACTTTTTATTTATTTAGCTATTGTTCACCCAATATACAAGGCTCAAGAGCCATTCAAGTTAGAGGGTTACTGTTATGGTCTGGTTCCTTGTACCACGGTGATAGTTCAAGGTAGAACCAATAAAGAAAAACTCGAAGGCGGATATGGAATAAACAAACAGGAATATATACAGAGAGGTAGAAAAGTGTTAGTACAAACAATCAGGTTTAGTAGTAATTGTCTGAACATGACTGTTTCAGACTGCCTCTGACTCGACTGACGGACTTCACTCCAGACTTCATACGGAACTCCCTGCTTCCTCTTGAGGCACAGTATTTATTACATATGGAATAGTCCATTATGTTATTATGGGTAAGGTCCCATAATAGTTACTAAATGCGGTTGTTGTAAGATCATACCATGAGGATATGTAGGATAGATAACGGTAGACACTAAAATTGAAGACGTTATTGAAATGATTCAAAAACATCACCTTGGGTGTCCCGTTCTACAATGCAACAGTTCTTGAGTGGAACTTTTTCCTTACCAGTGGAATATGAAGGGAACAAGAATGAGTTGACTCGGTGTACATGGTCTGCTGAGTCCTAGTTATGAAGGCTTGGACTGGGGGAATCAAGGAATGTATCCCCCCCCCATCCCATTCACTGAACATGTGCCATGAAAATAGTGATACAATTGTGAGAGGTTACCAATGTTTCATCTGTAAGAAAGGGGGGGGCTGTAAAGAAGAAGAAAATTCATCACTGTGCAAACACTTTTGATCTTTAAACAGGGTATATGTTTGATAAAAAAAAAAAAAAAAATCCTGAGTCTTTACATGATATCTGAATTTGAGCCTCTGAGCGAGTATCCATATATATTTTTTAATCAATTCATCCCAAGCAAAGCAATAATGCTACTTAGACACAAGAGGCTACTGGGAGTGAAAGAGAATGAGATTTTAGAAGGAACCAGAAACCCTGTATAAAGGTAAAAGACAATAGGAAAACTGTATTATTAGCCAACGTGTTTCCTACAATGTGGACTTTTTCAAGGCAAAAATGAAATGAATTTATTAAAACAAAGTAACTATTAACAACAAAACAAAATGTCCTTAGCGACTAAAAGAATTTAGAAAATGCTATTGTATTCATATTGTCAACTGAAAATTATGTCAAGTACTATCATGTGTGGAAATATAGTTTCTATTGTTGTGTTGATGGATTCAGCTATTTTCTTTTGATTTCTTGATACATTTGTGTACGTTTGCTTGGGAGAGTAGTAATTCTGTTAGGAAAGGACATATAGGGAAAATAGTTTTCCTATTGTCTTTTACCTTTACACATATTGTCTTTTTCTACAGGTTAACTCTGAGAAATTTATATATATATATATATATATATATATATATATTTGTTGTAGTGGAATGTCCCACACTCCCTATCACCTATTGTGGACTGACTATATCAACAGATATATATAATAAGCACAGGATATACCTGGTGAACTTGCTCGGGAATTACTAGCTTGCTAACAGATTCCATGTCTTTCAGTAGTGTATTCTCTTTTACAATAAACCTCTCTTTCTTTCATCTATGCATGTGTTAC